AGCCAGGCATGGTGGCTCACGCCTGTAATCCCAGCACTTTGGGAGGCCAAGGGAGGTGGATCACTTGAGGCCAGGAGTTTGAGACCAGTTGTGGCAACATGGTGAAACCCCATCTCTACTAAAAATACAAAAATTAGCCAGGCATGGTGGCACAGGCCTGTAATCTCAGCTACTCAGGAGGTGGAGGCAGGGGCACTGCTTGAACCTGGGAGGCAGAGGTTGCAGTGAGCAGAGATGGCGCTATTGCACTCCAGCCTGGACGCTGTTTAAAAAAAAAAAAAAGAAAGAAAAGAAAATGTGATACAGTATAGGCTAGGGGTGGTGGCTCACTCGTATAATCCCAGCACTTTGGGAGGCTGAGTTGGACAGATTGTCTGAGCCCAGGAGTTTGAGACCAGCCTGGGTAATATGGCGAAACCGCTGCGCTCCGTGTCTCACGCCTACAAGCCCACCATCACCAAAATTAGCTTGGGTGTGCTGATGGCAATCTTGTAAGTTCCAGCCTACTGAGGCCTGGAGGTGGAGATCGTTTATAGCCCAGGAGGATTGAGGCTGGAGTGAGGCTATAATCCTGGCCATTCCCACTTCAGGCTGGAGGCAGACGGTGAGACCCTGCCTCAAAAAAAAAAAAAAAAAGGGATGGGCGGGCGCGGTGCTCAAGCCTGTAATCCCAGCACTTTGGGAGGGCCGAGGACGGGCGCGATCACTGAGGTCAGCGAAGATCGAGACCTTCTGGCTACACGGTGAACAACCCCCATCTCTACTAAAAAATACAAAAAACTAGCGGGCCGAAGGTGGCGGGCGCCTGTAGGGTTCCCAGACTATCCGAGACGCGAGCGCCAGCTGAGAATGCGTTAAACCCGGAGCGGAGGCTTGCAGTGAGCTGAGCCGGCACTGCACTCCAGCCTGAGGCGACAGAGCAGACTCAGCGTCTCAAAAAAAAAAAAAAAAAAAAAATGTATCGTTGGTATCACAATGGTTATCATCTTAAACGATGAAATTCTGCTCTTTGCAAACATGGTGATGACACCCAGAGGTCTAGTTGTTGTTAAGTGAAATACTGCCAGGCCAGAAAGAACACAATACTTTGATACCTCCTTTATATGGTGATGTAATAAAGGATTGACTCATCGAAGTAGATGAGTAGCGGTCCGGGGTGTGGTGGCTCACGCCTGTAGTCCAGCACTTTGGGAGGCTGAGGTAGGCAGATCACATTGAGGTCAGGAGTTGGACAGCCTGAACAACAAGGTGAAACTCCGGTCTCACTAAAAAACAAAAATTACCTGGGCATGGTGGTGCGCACCTGTAATCCAGCTAACGTCGGGGGGCTGAGGCAGGAGAATCGCTTGAACCTGGGAGGCGGACGTTGCAGTGGGCTGAGGTCATGCCACTGCACTCCAGCCCTGGGCGACAGAGAGACATCCGTTTCAATAAAAAAAAAAAAAGAAGTAGATGTAGAGAGTAGAATGGTGGTCACCAAGGGTTGGTGAGACGCTGATCAAAGGATATAAAATTTCAGTTAGGAGGAATTAAGTTAAGAATCAGCCAGCGCGCGTGGTTCACGCCTGTAATCCCAGCACTCGATTGGGAGGCCGAGACGGGCCGATCACGAGGTCAGGAGATCGAGACCATCCCTGGCTAACATGGTGAAACCTGTCTCTACTAAAAATACAAAAAACTAGCTGGGCATAGTGGCGGGCGCCTGTAGTCCCAGCTACTCAGGAGGCTGAGGCAGGAGAATGGCATAAACCCGGGAGGCGGAGCTTTCAGTGAGCCGAGATTGCGCCACTGCACTGCGGCCTGGGCGACAAAGCAAGACTGTCTCAAAAAAAAAAAAAAAAGTTTAAGAGATCTATGGTATAAGACATGATGACTGTAGTTCATAACAATGTATTATATTCTTGAAAACTGCTTAGTGCTAAGTGTTGCTAACTTAAGTATTCTGGCCATTTAAAAAACAGTAAGTATATAAGGCAATCAAAAAAGGTCCAATACTGGCAGTTTCATATGGCCCAGTCTAGTAATATGCTATTTTATCTGATATCCTGGAATCATTTCAGGGGAGAGGCTTGGGCTCCTGAATAACCAATGCCCTAACAGGCATTTCAGGGTTTTAATAACAAGAATAATAATAAAAAGCAATGACAGCTGTTAACCTTTCTCAGTTCCTTTGAGCCAGATCCGTTATATACATTATCACCAACCCTCATAACCGACAAGGGATTATCTCAGTGTAACAGACAAGAAACCTGAATCTCAGAGAGGTTTGGTGACTTGCTGATGGCCACCTGGTCCTTAAGTGGCAGTGGCAGAACCAGGACGTGAATGAATTCTGACAACATAAACCATACATATTCCTGCCCGACACAGGGCAGCACTGGGCCAGTGCAGATCAGGGTGGTGACCACGGAGCAGAGGCTGCCCCAGCTGGAGCAGGAAGAGGCTGGGTTTGCAACCTTTGGGACTCTGAAGGTGAGAAGTGGAATCCAGGAGGGCTTTATCCATAGTGCCTGCTCTCCGACAATGGTTAAATCCTACTCAGCACATCCTAGCCAGCACAAGACCCCTCAGGAGAGAAAGGCCCTTGGGACCACCCTGTCTCATGTTGATAGAGTTATGTGTGTACAGGGCCGGGAGTGCGGGACAGCCACCTTTCTGAGTCAGACCTTCCTTTCCAGGCGACAGCACTTGGCTTTGCCACGTCAGACTTCATATCCATTTATGTTAACGAAGTCCATTACCGGGACAGGAATGTGCTTGTACCTGAGTTACTCTCGACTGTCCTGGTGGTGAGCAGTGAAGCAAACTAAATTGGCTCCCCTGGAGGGAGCGGGCGCTTCTAGAATTTGGGCCAATTTGTTGACTGCCAATAATTGCCTCTGTGGGAGGCATGATTGGGGGATGAAAATAGCCTGAGTATGTAAATGTAGAGGAGACAGAGACAGACGGATGGACTCTAGAGCAAAAGCCTGCAGCCTGCTCTATCAATCTGGTCTGGAAGGAGCCAGCACATCCTGGACTTCAATCACGGCTTTATCACTGACCAGCTGGATGGCCCAGGGCAAGTGACTTGACCTCTCTGAGTCTTAGTTTCCTCCTCTGTAAATATGGGAGCACCAGGAAGACCCACCTCACAGGGTTGTTGGGAGGAGCAGAGCTATTATAATGTGCCTAGCACATAGTGGGTGCTCAGGCAGGGGTAGCTATTACTCCAGAATAACCAGGGACTGGAGTGAGTTCCCTGTACCACTCCATTCCGAGCTGGTCAGAACCTTCCTAGAGGAGTCTGACTTAAGAGCAATGGAAACAGGGAGGTTGGGGGATGGGACTTGGAGGTGGGGAAGGATCAGAAAATAAGAGCTACCGGGAAGTGAGGTTAAACTCACTGCACGAGCTTTCAAACGGGGGAGTTTCAGGGAGGCAGAGTCCCTCTCAATGTAAGGAAAACACTTTTGAAGGAAGGGCTGCCAGGAGGATGAGCTGTTAAGGGTGGCAGTGAGCTCCTTGTCAGAGAAAGTAATCAAGAAGAGGCTGAACAGCTCTTCTTGAGCTTCTTAAGGACACTCAGGTGGACTCCAACATTGAGTAAGTAGTGCTCCCAAACCATGCGTCAAAAAGCACATGAATGCGTATTAAAAATGTAGGTGCCTGGCCCTGGAGCGAAGCTCAGAAATCTGTTTCCTCACAGTTGAGCCAGGTGATGCTTTGAGGCTGGATGGCGACATGATACTGGGAGCCATGGGGTAGCTGTGGGAATCGATCATCTCCCAGCTGCCAAGCTGGGAGCTGTGGCGTAGAGGTGGGAATCTATCAGTCCTCTCCCAGCTCCCATACTGGTCTAAGAGGTGGGCATTCCAGGGGGAAGACAAGGCTTTGGGAGTGGCACCGCCATAAAGTTCTCCCTGGAGGGCTCTAGAGGATAGGCAGGGCTTCCATCTCCCCAGGCAGCCCTCAGGGAGAGACCGTAGCTGCTGGAGCCTGAGTGCCATCTGAGGGAGGTGTGAGCACTTCCCTTCTTTGGATTTAAGGTCAGACCTACAGCGACCCTTCCAGGTAGTGGGGGCTGCCCAAGGCCAGTTATGGGCAGCTGTCAGGGCTGACTGGTGCTCTCAGCTTCCCGTGTGGCCTTGAACAGCAGGAATGAACAGTTGGGGCATCTGCCATGGCAGGGTATTGCCATGCCAGCCTGTTGACGGCATGAGCTAAACAGGCACAGGGAAGAAGGCAGGCAGATCTCACAAGGAAAAGCTAAACATCTCTGGAAAGGGGACTTCTGCACCAGGTGGCCAATTCCTGCCAATGCAAGGTGGTGCCTAGATTTCAGTTGCACTTTCTCCAGACTTCACATATGGGTGGTTGCCACTGAGCTGACGCAGACCAGTGAGAACCTTTTCCCCAGCAGAATCTTGTCTCTCCCTTTCCCTCTGTAGAATCTTACTGACTCTGCGTGCTCACCTTCCCTGCCACCTGGCGTTAGGGCACAGGTAGATGCTATTTGCTATCTTAGCGGTAGCTTGGGCTCCCGGGCTCCCCACTGCCCTCCTGCTGATCCACGAGGGAGGACACATTCGCCTCTGAAAACCCCGTGGCAGCTGCACGCTCATCCCTCTGCTCGGCAGGAAGAAGGTGGGAGCTGTTTGGGAGGCAGTGGGGAGGAGACTTGCCTTTTCAGCGAAGACCTGGTTGCCAGAGAGCTCGGTGAGGTGTAAGAATTCCAAGTGCAGGGATCCAAACTCCGCCAAGATGCTGCTGCTGCCGGCCGTGGCCCAGCCCCAGCTCCCGCTGAAAAGACAGAAGCAGCCCCCGTCATCCCCCCGCTGGCCAGGCCAGCTCCTCTGCTGAGAGTAACGGCAGCTGCTCGGTGGGGGCACCTACTATGTGCCAGGCACGGAACCAGGAGCTTTTGCCGTAAAATTCCAGTGAATCCTCCTGATGAGGACACTGAGATAAAGTAACTCACTGAAGGTCATTTGAACCCAGGCCTGACTTGGAATATTCTCTGTTCCATCATCAAGCAACCCCTGTAAGAGTTGGGAACTCGAGACCTGGTACAAGAGTTACGCTGAATTTACAGATGATGTGGTTAATGCCGTCGGGGACCACAAAGACCCCACAGAACACCCAGTTGCTGTCCTCTGGCTGAAGGCACCGGATGGCTCACAACCACTGGTGGTTCTGCATGTGGAGGATAAACAGTGCGGTGATTTGGGTGCAAATGGGGCCGATGAAAAGCAGTGCCCCGCCTAGCTCTTTCCCTCTCCCAGCACACTGTCAGTGCTGCCCACGGACACGAAACGGCCCCGGCCTGGAATTTCATGGAACCTACATGAGACAGGCAGGGAGTTCTGGTGTGACCACACATCTGGAGCTGTGTGCTTTCAAAGACAAAGAACGCAGAGGCTGGATCCTGGTTAATCCTCACAGCTACCCCTTTTGCAAATGGGGTAAACAAGGCACAGGCCAGTGATGTCCCCCGCCTGAGATCACACAGTAATTCGAAGAGCTGGGATCCAGCGCTGGCTCTGATGCCAGAGCCTGTGCTAACTGCTGTGCAGCTTGCTTCTCTTTTGATCATAGGATAGGGAACAAGGACACTGCCTTTCCAGGAGCATTCATTTACAGTCTCCCTGAGATCTGGAGCCAGAAGGTGCAGGTTCAAGTGTCACTCAGCTGGAGACCTCGGGCAAACCACTTAATCCCTGCTTGCCTCAGTGCCTGCCTCCGTAAGACACAGCAAAGGTGATGCCTCCATCTCCTAGGTTCATGCCTCCTCCTTCCTGGGCTTTTGTGGGGATAAAGAGGAAAGGAGGGTGCAGAATGGGGGTGGTTCTGGGCAAGCTGCTCCCCCTCCCTGCGCCTCAGTCTCCTCTATGTATCACAATTATCTTTCCTGTGGGACATTTAGGACAATCAGGGGCACATGGTCTCTGCAGGAAGGCTGTGGACAGAGGTGGGGCAGAGCAGGGTGGAGTGACGTCCTCCCATTTGTAGCAGCTCTGAGGTGCAGTTAGTGTGGAACAGGTTGAGGGACTGGCTCTGCCAGGGGCACTCTGCTTCCTTGCTGCTGGTCGCACTGCCCTCCCAGGAACTGGCCTGTCTGCCCCTCTGTCTCCATGGATGGGCTTAGGAAGGCAGGCGTGGGGGTGTGGAGGTCACTGTTTGCCACTTGAGGGGTGCTGCTTTTCCTGGGGTAGGGCTGGGGCTCCCCTGATGCTGCTGTTCTCTCTTAACTCCGTTCTTGGCGCTGGATGTGGTTTCTGGGAAAGTAGGGACACTTACCAGCCTCCCAGCTTCTGGGAACAGATGGAGGACTCAGGTTTTGAGATCTTTGGGGTCAGGTGACCTCAACACATGTAGAGACAGCCACCCCCTTCATCCTGGCTTGGGGCAGAGGACAGTGGGGGAGGGATGGGTTGCACAGGAGGGGAAACTTGGCTGCTGATCTGAATAAACAAAAGAACTTCCATTTATTGAGCCGCTATAATGTGCCAGGCACTGGGGCAAGCAGTTTACATCATTACTTCATTGAAAGCCCATAACATGAAGCATCATTCATACCCCTATGCAAAGGAGGAAACTGAGGCTCACACAGGGAAGTGAAGTGTTCGAGGTCAGAGGCAGAAGATGATGGAGACAGGATTCAAACAGGTCTGCTGGGCCTCCCACCCTAAGACGGCCCTGCACTCACCCAGAGGGAAAGAGGGAGCTGCCATCCTGCCCCCTCTCTGTCCCTCTTCCCCCAAGGCTAGCTGAGACTTCTCTCTCCAGCTTGTGATCTCAGTGAGTCTCAGAGAGCTTCCTGAATAATTCATTCTTCCTGCATTCTCAGGGAAGTTTAAAGTAGGAAAAAGCCACCAGCCCTCCAGCTGTCTTTTGTTCTCATTTTCCCCCACGTGGGCCTCTCCTTCCTCTCTCCCACTCCCACACGCTCACCCTCCCGAGTGGGCTTCCTGTGGTGGAGACGCCCTGGCAGACAAGTGAGCCGGCCTGGGCAGAGGCAGGCAGGTGGCCGGGTGCCTTTCCTCTCCTGCCCAGCTTCCAATGCTGGCTTCTCCGGGTCCCAGCAAGGTGACCTCGGGCAGGTTGGTTAACTTCCCTAGAACTCAGTTTCCTCATCCCTTAAGTGACAGCACCCACACTTCATAGAGTTATTGTGAGGTATAAATTATGCATGTAGGTATTGTCATTTTTATCATTATGTAATTATGCACATGTAAATGTTGTTGTTACTAAGTTTCTAATCTGTGCCAGGTGGTTCTGGTGGTTCTTATTTTACCTTCACAACCAACTTTGGAGGTAGACACCATTATCTTTATTTCATAGAATGAGGGCGAGGCCACACAGTAAGTGGTAGAACTGAATCCAATTCCAAATCCTAGGTGTTCTGTGCCCCAAATGCATCTGCTCTGGGCAGCATCCCAGAGACCAGGAGGTCCTCTGCTCAGCCCTGTGAGCCAATGGGCCAGCAGGAAGCTCTGCCCTCCTCTCCCAGCCTTTCAAGTGCAAGTGGGCGCAGAGCCTGTGTTCTCTCTCCTGGCAGGAGGGGCTGCTCCACAATGCCCCTCCCCACCCTGGCTATAGCTTCTAGGCAGGTACACTCATTAGTATGGTGTAATCATCAACTTTGGAGGCAGACAGACTGGGCTTCTAATTAAGTTTGCTTTGCTGCTGTGTGACCTCAGGTAAGTTACCTCACCTCTCTGAGCCTCAGTTTCTTTACTGGTAAAATGGAGTCCCTGTGGTTGCTGTAAGGTTGAAAAGACAATCCATGTCACGTGCTCACGTGATGCCTGACGCACAGTGACTTCTCACCAGACATTTGCGATTGTGAAGACATGTCTATTTGTGTGTGGCGGAAGCATGCACGTGTAAACGGATATTCGTTTGTGAATGTGTGTGCCTGTGTATGGATGCCAGCGTGTCTGCGACAAAGGCCAGCTTGTGTATCCGGGCCTTTATGATCTATAAGGGTGGCAGGAGAGTGTTTGCATGTGTGTGAGAGAGCATGAGTGAAAGAGACCGACTTGGCTGCAGAGGTCCTTGCACGGGCCGTCGTCACTCTCCCAGGCAGTCCAGTGTCCCTGAAGGTCCCAGGTCAGGCTGGCCCTGCCTCAGTCTCCCAGGCCGGTCTGTGCAGACACCAGGGAGGAGGTGCAGCTCAAACCTGCTGGGGAATGGCCTCCCCTCAGGGTCCTTCCTACCCTGATGTGTAGGGCAGGGCTGGTTACCTACTCTCCTGGAGGGCCCACGTTCTTGCCCCTCCTGTCGGGGCTGCCCACAGTGAGCCCTGCCGGGGGCAGGTGCAACAACAGTAGCCCAGCTCCTGCCAGGAGGCCCCCTCTGAAGAGCAAACTCAGTGCCACATGGGCCCATACAGCCCTGCCACTCTCCGAGGCAGGCATTTTTAGCAACAGCCTCTCTTACCAAGAACAAAAAGGGGGATGTTGCCAGGAAATACACATGAACGCACATGGCATGGAGAACACACAAACAGCCTAAAAGCAAATGCACTTCCTTAATCAGAAATGTCAGGATTCGTGTCAGATCAGGTCCCTGCTCTGAGAGACCTAGGGAAGGGCTAGGGACAGAAGAGGAAAGGATGCCCCCAACGAGGTCCTACCCCAGACCCGGGGAGGGGGAGCCAGAGGACAATGTGTGTGTGTCTGGGCTTCATGACAGCTGGCTGTGTCTCTCCAGGATCAGTGTTTATGGAAGAGGGACCTGAGCAGAGATCCAAGAGTCCAGCTCTGAGGAGTCAACCCTGGCATCGAGACTGGGATTTCTCCAGCCGCCGAGAGCACCCCCCCTCCCTGGCCTATGGTGAGATTCCAGTGAGCTCACACCCTGGGAATTCTTCCCGACCACAGGGAGGACAGTTGATGAAGATGCTGAACATGCCAAGCCCTCTTTCTGCAAGACCAGAGAAAGGTGGTGAAGCCCTTGAGGCTGACATGAAGGGTGGAACCTCCCCAGGACAGTGACCGGAGCTACAGGTCCTCCAACCAGAGCCCAGGGCCCCTGCCTCTCCTCCTGGACAGCTGGCTGAAGCTTCTGTTGGGTTGAGAGTCCTGAGATGAGAAATTTCTTCAGGAGATGGGATGGGAAGTCTGGTACGGTGGAACATCACAGCCTTCCTAGGGTCGGGGTTGTTGGAGGGCCTCGAGGATGGCCCCAGAGAGCTGCTGGGTGCCCAGGGATGTGGCTTCTATTAAGTAGCTCCATGCAGCACAGGGACAGTGGCTAGGGCTCCTTGAGAGCTAGGCTCCTGTCCGGGAGGGCTGGGATCCTGAGATCTCCTAGCAGCTTCGGGGACCTCCTCACTGGGGGAGGAGGACGGTGTGATGTGCCTGCTGGCTCTGGAACCCCAATGGGGGAAGACAGTGTTTGGGGCCACTGTGAAGGGCTCTTAAGATAGCACTGTGGGATGTCCAGAGGAACTGCCCCTGCCCACCCCAGGAGGTTCAGGCTTATGTGGACTAAACCCTGAGACCCAGGTTTGGTGACAAACACCTGTCCGGGAAAGTTGTTGGCACTTTTACTGTGCCACTGACTCACTGTGGCTCCCAAGGCAGGTATGGTCCTCTCCCTGAGCCTCAGTTTCTACATCATAAAAGAACGAGCTTGACAAAGGTGGTTCCAAGGGTCCTCCCTCCTGCTTGCCTGCCCACTGCCCCTGGAGCCTCCTCACCAGCCCCACCCAGAGAAGACACACAAGCGGCGGGCATGGTCGCAGCAAAGCCCCCGTGGGGAACGAGATGGCGTCCTACCTTTTGAAGCTCACCACGCCCTTTGGGATTCCCGTGGGGGTGTTGAACGCCGGCAGGAGCTTCTCTCCCAGCCTGATGGCCTTTATTCGGAACACCTGTAAAGGAGGGGGTCAAAGGGCTTTTGACTCCAGGCTGGGTGAGGGAAGATCAACCCCAGAACTGCTGCAGGCAGGATGAACCACCCAGGGCTGCAGGCCTAGAGTGGGCGGCAGTGCTGCAGCCCACCAGCCCGGCCCTTCCAACTGCTGGCCACGTGGACTTGGGCAAGGTACTTCTGAGCCTCAGCTTTTGTCCGTAAAATAGGATAATATTGGCCTTCTTACAGAGTTGTTGAGAGAAATGAAAATTAGATAATTGTGGCAAAGCATCTACCACAGTGTCAGGACTCTGGTGGCAAAGGCTGGATGCTGCTCATTGGGACGGGGCGGCTACTGGGAAGATGAGGGAGAAAGCAGTGAGGTGCCGGGGGCGGGGGGCACCTCCAAGTCCAGATGAAGACCTGGCAGAGACGGGCCGGTCTCCAAAGGTCCGTGCCTGCCCACACTGCAGGACGATACCACAGGCAGAGGGCATGGGAACGGGTGGTGCCATTCGGACAGACTGTCAAGAGCACTGGACTGGGAGCCAAGACCACCCTCAGGTTCCAGAGACCACTTCCTCCTGGGCGACAGTTTCCCTCTTCCTGCGTAACAGCAGTGGACAGGCCCGTCCCACTTTGACATCCTGATCCTGCCCACCATTCCTATTTCACAGACGGGGAATGAAGGGAGAGGGTGAGTAGCTTATCCTCAACCACCCACAGGATAGCAAGGGAGCCACAGGGAGATCCCAGGCGTCACGGCCCCTGCCTGAGGCTCGGCCCCCTTCAAACTGTTCTGACATGTCTGATTAATTCAAAAGGCCCTGTGACCTTCTGACCCAGCCGTTTCCTGCCTGGGAATTTATTCTGAAGAAATAATGTTGTAAAGATTTATTTATGGCCGGGTGCGGTGGCTCAAGCCTGTAATCCCAGCACTTTGGGAGGCCGAGGCGGGCGGATCATGAGGTCAGGAGATCGAGATCATCCTGGCTCACACGGTGAAACCCCGTTTCTACTAAAAAAAAATACAAAAAACCAGCTGGGCGAGGTGGCAGGCGCCTGTAGTCCCAGCTACTCGGGAGGCTGAGGCAGGAGAATGGCGTAAACCCGGGAGGCGGAGCTTGCAGTGAGCTGAGATCTGGCCACAGCACTCCAGCCTGGGTGACAGAGCAAGACTCCGTCTCAAAAAAAAAAAAAAAAAAAAGATTTATTTACTCCAGCACTGTTTAGAATAATGGGAAAAACTGGAAGTGTTCTAAATATCAAACAATAGGAAAGTGGTTACATAATGGCTCCATGCAACAAAATCCTATGCAGCTATTGAAACGATGCTGTGGGCTGGGCGCGGTGGCTCACACCTGTAATCCCAGCACTTTGGGAGGCCGAGGTGGGCGGATCACCTGAGGTCAGTAGTTGAGACCAGCCTGGCCAACATGGAGAAACCCCATCTCTACTAAAAATACAAAAAATAGCCGGGCGTGGTGGCAGGCGCCTGTAATCCCAGCTACTCGGGAGGCTGAGGCAGGGGAATCTCCTGAACCTGGGAAGCAGAAGTTCCAGTGAGCTGAGCAAGACTCCACCTCAAAAATAAATAAAATAAAATAAAATGCTGCTATAGAAGAATATTAACAGCAAAGAAAGGGTTTATAATCTATTAAGAGAAATACATTTCAAAACGGAGTAATTCAACTTTGGTAAAGATCCCGTGGACATGGAAGAAAGGAAAGAAATATAACAAAATATTAATAATGGCCTTCTAGGGGGTTAAGCGTATGGATCATTTTTATTTTCTTTTGGCTCATCTCTATTTCCTCTGTGATTTTTATAATAAAAGAACAGCCACAATAAATGTTATTTATTTTTAAAAGATGAGACACAAGCCCCTAGGAAACCACTCAGAGTGGGGAATACACAGGTCTTTTCACTTCTGGAGCTTGAGGGGGCCCAGTTTGCTGACCTCCTGTGGTCCTTGCAAAACAAAGCCTTCTTGAGTCCTGCCCCGGCTCCCCGACAATTAGAAATTGCCGAGGCAGCTGTGTAGGGAATGCAGTGGGAGGGGAATTTCAGGACACTTTAAAAGGGATGTGGACTTGAGGTCTCTGAGGTGGGGGTGGTTTTCTTCTCGTGGGAGGGAGGGGCTGCGCTGCGTCTGGCAGTGATGGGTCAGAGAAGATGAGAATGTCTAGTGCCAGACAGAGGGGCCCAGAAGCGGGCACAGGGACCAGCCCCATCAGATCCCTTGGGGAGCTGGTCTAGGATTCAGATTCCAAAGCCCAGAATGACAGACAGATCTGCTCTCTGGGATTCTGGTGCACAGCCAGGCTTAGTAACAACAAAGGGCTCTCAAGGCCCTTGGTCGCACTGAGGCTCTTTACATCTTCATTTGCCCCCAGGGAGGCTGCCCAAGGTGAACAAACGAACCCACCAGAACCACAGCCCAGATGCTGAGGCTCCACGCAGCCGTCTGGCTGCCCTCAGCCCTGGGGACGCTGAACTAACACTTCTTAGATGCTCCTCTCTGCCAGCAAACCACATCCCCTCCTCTGAAGGCCCTGCTGCTGGCTGGCACTGCAGGTCTCAGCTGTCCCTGGAAGGATGCTGAGTGAATGTGTGCGGACAGGCGTGCCCGGCCTCAGCCCTTGCAACAGCCTGTGGGGAAGGCGCTGACCCACTGTGAGGATGAGAAAACTGAGTCTCAGAGGAGCAACTTGCCCAAGGTTGTGGAGCTGTTAAGGGGCTCTTTTCCAGGACACCAAGCTGTCTCTCCAACGCAGAGATACAGCCTAGCGGCCACAATTCCAGAACAGGGGTGAGAGAAACCAGTAGGAATTGCATTCTGTGAGGTGGGATGGGCGCAGGGCTGGGAGTCAGGGCCCAAGTGCGGATCCTTCCACTTCGCAGCTGTGTGGCTATAGTGCGCCCCTTAGAATAGTGGGAAAAACTGGAAGTATTCTAAATATCAAACAATAGGAAAGTGGTTAGATAATGGCTCCAAGCAACAAAATACCATGCAGCTATTGAAACGATGCTGTAGGCCAGGCGCGGTGGCTCACGCCTACAATCCCAGCATTTTGGGAGGCTGAGGTGGGTGGATCACCTGAGGTCAGGAGTTCGAGACCATCCTGGCCAACAAAGTGAAACCCCGTCTCTACTAAAAATACAAAAATAGCCAGGTGGAGGAGAAGGGAGGGGGAAGGAAACCTCACTGCACCTTGGTTTCCTCGTCCGCACAACACAATGGTGGCACGTGCCCCGCTGCTGCAGGGGTCTTTGTGGAAATCAAATGAGAGGATGTAGAGAAATGAATGTGCTTTGTAAACTGTGAAGTGCTGTGCCAACACCACGTGTGCAGCTGTGGTTATACAAGTTATTCCCATGGGCACTGGCTCTCGGTAGGACTGGCCTACCTAGCAGGGGGTCTCCCTTTGAAGCTTCATCTTAAGCAAAGAAAGGCCTCAGCCTAGAAAAGTGTGGGGTCTCCTTCACCCTTCATTCCACAAACCTTTGTAGGAAATTTTAAGAATGGAAAGATCCACCCAACAGGCACCCACTGCATGTGAGCTCAAGGACTAAGGGAAGAGGGAGGCCTCAGTCTAGTGTGGCTGAGCCCGGGTGACAAGCAGTGATGCCATGCCAGGCTGTGATCCAGGCCCATAGCACAAAGGCCACAGGGTCAGGAGTCAGGGCCAACACAGCCCTCAGAGACTGTGCAACCCAGAGCCAGTTACTGCTTCTAAGTCTCAGTTTCCTCATCTGCAAATTGGTGATAACATGCACCTGACGGGGCCATCCGAGGCTCCAGTGAGAAAGCACATGAGGAACACAGCATGGCATCTGGTTCAGGGAGGTGTTCGGGGGACAAATCAGTAAGGTGTGGCCAGATGGCAGGTGCTGCACTGACTGGCACAGGAGCCTGCCTGGCCACCCAAGGGTTCTGGCCACGTTGGCCTCTCCTTGAGCCTTTTGAGCTGTTTTTCAAGTCACAGGTGCTCCTGTCCACACCCCACTATCTGGTCTATGTTCTGGAAAGCTGAGCTGCTGGTGCCTTCTAGGAAGTTGAGGCCTCAAAGCAAGTTCTCAGAACCACAGATGCCCTTGAAGAGGGAAGGGAGGAAGGGAAGAAAAATGGCAGGGAAGATGCATGATGGATGGAAGGAGAAAAGGACAGAAGAAAAGATGGATGGAAGGAGAAGGAAGGAAGACAAGACAGAAGGAAAGATAAATGGAAGGAAGGATAGAAGGAAAGATGAACGAAGGGAAGGAAGGATGGAAGGAAAGATGGATGGAAGGAAGGATGGAAGGAAAGATGAACAAAGGAAAGGAAAAATGGAAGGAAAGATAGACGGAAGGAAGGAAAAATAGATGGAAGGAAAGATGAATGGAAGGATGGAAGAAAAGATGGATAGAAGGATGGAAGGAAAGATGGATGGAAAGTGGGGAGGGAAGGGAGGAAAGATGGACAGAAAGAAGGAAGAACGGAAGGAAAGATGGACGGAAGGGAGGAAAGATGGATGGAAGAGAGGGAAGGAAGGAAGAGGCAATGTGTCTCAACAGCAACCAACTCTTTCCTGAATTGCTCCCCCACAAACCACCCCGGGAGTCCTCAGTTGTGTCCTCCACTCTTCCTTCCTGCAGGCCATCTGCACTGACCACGGCCAAGCAAGGAGGCTGGGCACATGCCCTGAAGAACAAGGATGCTTTTTCTGCTCCTTCTGTCATTTTCCTGTCCTGGAGTTTTCAAACGAAATTCAGGCTCTGGGCGGCTCAAAGCCGAGGGCTTCCATCTACAATTATTTGGGGACAAATTGGTACAAGCGCTAATCTCTGCTGAGGAGATTATGCTCGATGGAGAGAGGCCTGGAGCAACTGCAGAGATAAGGCGCCCGCCTGTTGCCTCGAAACCCTTGACTTCAGCCCCTGGCACCTTCACAGATGAAGGAAAGTGGAAATGACTTTCTGGACAGCAGCGGTGGAGGTGAAGAGGGATTATTCTGTGGCTTGCCCGCCTCACCTCTATGGCTCCTTGGGTGGCGGGGGGGCAGGCATCATTATTTGTCTCTGGGTGGTCAGAGCAGGGAGGCGTCTAGCCTCACGGCAGCCCATCTGAGTAATGGGGAACAGAACTGACCAATGACTGATGTTTTGGGGACTCAGCCAACCTCACCACCAGATATCTGGGCTGTGCTTTCACTGGAGCTCAGGATGGGGGATGAAGAAGCCTCCCATTTCTATAGAGCTCTGTGGTTTTCAAAATTCTCTTGCAGGGAGGAGAATATGGACTTTGGAGCCGTCAGCCTTGGGGCCCCACACTTTCCTTCCTATCCCATGTCCTAAGAGCTCTTTGAGCGAAGGGGTATCAGAACCATCCATGCTGGGGAAGGAGGTGAGGCCCAGGGTGGGACAAGGAGCTCGCTAAGCCCATGAGTAGGTGAGGGTGGCATGGAGTGAGGGCCAGGTTTCCTGACTGCACCAGCTCTGCCTTCCTGCAGCGTGCACTTCCCAGCCCTCCTTGTGGAAGCCAACACAGCTCACCTGGGGGCAAGGCCTGACACTCGCAGATACAGCAATGGCTGCCCCACCTCACCTGCTGCCCCTGTGAGACCTGGAGCAGGTGTCTGGCTGGTGGTTGGCCCAGGATGGGAGGACAAGGGGTGGCTGTGGAGGACAAGGCCTGGGGGTCTTGGTCTTGGCTTTATCAGTCCTGAGAACAAACACCCGTGAAAAGCAGCCCAGGTGTCTGCTGGATGCTGAGTGGGATTTGAGCGGATGCTGTGTGGACCCAGCTGCTGCTCTCAGAGAACGTACAAGCACCCGTGGGAGCCAGCTGGGTTCACCTGGGCAGTAGAATGGGGGCATCAGAGTAAAGGAGGAAGAGCCGTTCCCCTCTTGCTGCCGCTGCTTTGTGTGATAGATTCAGCCTTGGGGGGGCCATCTGGGGTGGGAACAACATGCCCACCATAAGCAATGACTGATTAAGCAGGGAGGGGAGGGATGGTCGGAGGGAAAACAGGCCCTCAGGGGCGGACTTGGGCGGCCCCAGACCCATCCCTGCCCCCTTAAGTCTCTTTTCCCATGGGTGGCATGAGGGGGAAGGACTGGATGTTCTCCAAAGCCCTTTCCAGCCTGGACAGTCCAGGGGTCGTGAAGGGCCAACCCACCTCTTCTCCTGTCAGGTAGAAGGCTGAGAGGAGTCCCCCGATGTAGCGGATGTTCACCTCAAACAAGGATGCTTCTCCGCTCTGCAGGACAGAAAGGAGGGGGACAGTGGGGACACTTGTAAGATGCAGACCCTTCAGACAGGTCACCCTGGCCACTGATACTCCTCCCGTATCTGTGCCTGGCTCTGGTGAGCCAGGCAAGGTGGTGGTGGTTTTCATAACAAAAGTTGAGAGGAATCAGCACCTGCCTGGCAGAGCTCCTGCAATTTCCAGCATTCCAAATAAATGCTGGGCTTGGTTTCCTTCCCCAGCCCTTGCCAAGGCGATGGCAGCAAAGTGATGCCTGGCTGTGCTCCAAGGAGCGCCAGAACCTGCCTGGAGAGCTGCTGGCTGGAGCTTAGACTGAGGGGAGGCGAAGCCCGCTCTGGTCAGGCTACTTCCCCTTCCCGGGGAGACCCCAGGGCTTAGCAGGAAGACAGCGAGGCCCTTCCCTGGTTCTCTGAGGAGGCTGTGGGGCAGACAGGGACAGGCTGGGGCTAAGAAGGAGGGGCCTGGCAGCTGCGTATTCAGTGAGCAGCAGTTTCTTGGGCCCTCAGCTCAGAGCGCACAGGGCATGCCCATACTTGCCTTAATCATTTTTTTTTTTTTTTTTTTTTTTTTTTTTTTTTTTTTGGAGACGGAGTCTCGCTCTGCCGCCCAGGCTGGAGTGCAGTGGCCAGATCTCAGCTCACTGCAAGCTCCGCCTCCCAGGTTCACGCCATTCTCCTGCCTCAGCCTCCCGAGTAGCTGGGATTACAGGCGCCCGCCACCTCGCCCGGCTAGTTTTCTGTATTTTTTAGTAGAGATGGGGTTTCACCGTGTCGGCCAGGATGGTCTCGATCTCCTGACCTCGTGATCCGCCCGTCTCGGCCTCCCAAAGTGCTGGGATTACAGGCTTGAGCCACCGCGCCCGGCCAATCATTTCTATTTTCTTTCCTAAGTTGGGATTGCAAATCAGGGGTGCTGGAGCATCACGCCAGGACCAGATCTGGGGTAAATCCCACCTGAGCCACGGACCTGGCTTTGGCACCTCAGGAAAGATGTGCAGCCCTTCCCTGCCCCATTTCCTCAGCTGCAGAAAAGGGCTGCCAACCCCTCCCATGCCGGGTGGAGATGGGACACAGGGGCGCTGCAGAGAGAGGCCTGCCCATAGCCGGACATGCCTGTTGTCACCCTCCTTGCCCCGGAGGGTTCCCCCAGCATGCTTTGAACACCACTGTCTTTATCACTGAGAACAGCAGTGCTCATCTGTTAACCTGGGGGAACTCTTCCACCCACAGAGCACCTGCAAAACCGCTCCCTTTCAGCCTCCCAGGGCTCAGTGAGGTCAGAGTGTGGCAAGGGTCATCATTCCCACTTCTCAGATGAGAAAGTCAAGGTTCCAGGTCGAGTGACCCCACCTTGCTTTCTTCCAGGGACATTTCCTCACCTCCCCCACCTGCCTGAGTGTTCCCCGGTTCCTAGGGCACTGTGGGTGGCTGCCTGAGCCCATTCTGTATCCCAAAGAGCCACTGTCTACACAGGGGACAAGGAAGGCCTAGGGGGACACTCCTTCCTTCTCCTTCCTCCATCTTTCTCCAACCCAAAGACGGGTAATGGAGGATTCTCAGCTTCCTTGGCCTCACACAAACAACCAGAAGTGTTAACAAGCCTCAAAGTCATCCTAATAATGACAAGGGTGACCTCACTTTACACCAGCATCAGACTTCACAGTGTTATAAAATGTGGTTACAACTCTCCACTGTATTTAATTCTCATGATAAGCCTATGAGTTAGGCATTATTAATATCGTTGCTGTTGTCACCATTCTCATTGTATAGTTGAGGAATCCAAGGCTCAGGGAGGGTCAATGACTTTTCCAAGAGGTGCAGGGCAGCCAGGACTCCAGAGGCCTCTGTCTCCAGGGAAGCTCCCCTAAAGTGTTGCATTCCCAGGCTCTCCCAGACTCTCCGCCCTGCTCTGTGCTGGCAAACTGTCTCTCAAGGAGGCAGGGGCCTCGCTGCTGCCAGGAGCCGGAGGAGCCGGTCCCAGACCTGTCTGCAGCAGGACCTGGCACTCCTGGAGCCCACATGGAGGCTGGTGTGTGCTTGGATGAGGCCCCTCCTCGCCTCCCGGTCTCCATTGCTTACTCCCCAAGTCCATGTAGATAGCCTCCCTCCGTGGGGAGCTCACCTCTGGGATGCATGCCTTGCTTTAGTCTGGGCTGAGAGATCAACATGGTGGGGTCTGCTGTTCAAGGCTGTTGTGCCATCCAGACACATGACCATCCCCTCTGCAAGGCCCTGGTCCCTGAGCAAGTGTGACTGCAAGGCTAGAGACCAAGAGGTCCCAGGCCTGGTCATGGGCCTGCAAAGGGACGTGCACCACCCACTCCATGCCCACCCCACCCAGCCATCTCAACAGGCCAGTGCAGGGCAGGCTCAAGGCTGGAGCAGCTCCGAGCAGATGAGCCACTTCCCTCCTCCACAAAGCCATTCCCCACTTGCTGCCGCTGCTTTGTGTGACAGATCCAGCCCTGGGGGGCCATCCAGGGTGGGAGCAATGTGCCCCAGATGAGCAATGACTGACCTTGCAGGGAGGGGATGGATGGTTGTGGTAGTGTCCCCTCCCTAGGGAGGATGCTAGACTGGGGAAGATGTCCCCACCTCAAGGCTGTCTTAAGGGAGGGACTCAGCACAGAGTGCACGGCAGCCCCGGTTCTGAGACTGCTGGGCTGTGCAGCCTCGGGCGAGACCCTCAACATCTCTGGGTCTCAGAGATGACAGGGTGAAGCTGGCTGTTGGGCCTCTTCTGGCCCCCACCCCCCAAGGGCCTCTGACTCACCACATTCAGGTGGAAGCTCTCTTCCACCCAGGCCTTGGCCTCCTGGAACTCCTCTTTCAGCTCCATGAGGTAGAGGGTGTCGAGGGAGTCAATGACCGTCGCCCCACTGAGGCCTCCTGCAGGCACAGAGCATTGAGGGTGTGACCCAGGGCCATCCTTCTCTTTTCCCCAAACCACCGTTCCCAGGGCCCCTCCAATGCCAGTGTAGCAAAGGCTGACCTCAGGCACCATCCAGGCGGACTCCAGTGCCACCATCGAAGCTGAGGCCGAGACCCAGAGTCCCCACCATGGGCTGCTTCCTCCTCAGGGCAGAAAACAGCGGCCAGAGACCGAGGGCTCAGGCTGCGCCACTTCCCAGACCTCGGTCCACTCTTCTATTGGTCAGCGCGTCAACTATCAGTGCCAGTCAGCCACCTACTTTTCTCTACTTTGGCATACAAAATTCTTTTTTTTTTTTTGAGACAGGGTCTAACTCTGTCATCCAGTCTGGAGTGTAATGGCGCGATCTTGGCTCACTCCAACCTCCGCCTCCCAGGTTCAAGCGATTCTCCAACCTCAGCCTCCTGAGTAGCTGGGACCACAGGTGATCACCACCACGCCTAACTAATTTTTGTATTTTTAGTAGAGACGAGGTTTTGCCATGTTGGCCAGGCTGGTCTGGAACTCCTGGCCTCAAGTGATCCACCCACTTCGGCCTCACAAAGTGCTGGATTACAGGCGTGAGCCACCACACCCAGCCTGGCATACAAAAATCTTTTTTTTTCTTTTTTGAGACAGAGTCTCATTCTGTCACCTAGACCAGAGTATAATGGTGCTATCTCAGCTCACTGCAACCTGCAATCTTCACCTCCTGGACTCAAGTGATTCTCGTGCCTCAGCCTCCCAAGTAGCTGGGATTACAGACGCATGCCACCACACTCAGCTAATTTTTGTATTTTTAGTAGAAACAGGGTTTCACCATGTTGGCCAAGGCTGGTTTCGAATGCCTGGCCTCAAGTGATCTGCCCACTTCAGCCTCCCAAAGTGCTGGAATTACAGGCATGAGCCACTGCATCTGGCCTAAAAATCATAACCGTGCCAATCCTCTGTCTCTTCAAGATTAGTTGTAGCTAATAGAGGGTGAACTGAGGCTCAAATAGAAAATAGGATACCATACAGTCATCCACACAGGTGGGGTCGACCTGTGCCTATTTACCTGGGGAGACATCCATGGGATCTGTTTTTTTTCTTTTTTTTTTTTAAAGTAAATTGCAAAGAAGAAAAAAAATAGTATAATTCTTATTGTACATCAAAGTATAAGTGTACAGAACTAAGTCTGGATAGAATGACCCAGTGGCTACCTCTGAGTGCCGGGATTACAGGTGCTTTTTGATTTCTTCAGCTCATGGGTTACTTTTCTATAACCAGAAACTTATTTCCATTAAAAAAAAAAAAAAGGAAAGAAAATTTGGACAAAGAAACCAAACAAATGCACAAAGCAAAAATTTGTGGCCATTCTCATTCTAGTGCATGAACGAACTACGAGGCCTGGCCCCTACCACTGGGCATCAGGACCTGTCCTGGGAGTAAAGGCTGACATAAGTGCAAAATGATAGTTTTCCATCTCATGAACCAGACAGAAAAGTAATGAGGAAGACACCCTCGGGCACAACCAGAGCTTCTGCACTCAGTGCAGGAAACTGAAGGTGAAGGGGAGGGAGAAAGAGACATGCCTGGTACTATCTGAAGGGCTTCCTGAAAGAGGTGGCGTCTCCCATCAACTCCTTACAACTATGGAGTCATTGCAGGCAGCAGCAATTTCCTTTAGGGACCAGAGTGCAACCCTAACAGGAGTGATTGTTCCTTCAGTGTCCTCCCTGCAGAGGCTGAAAACATTGAGAGTCACAGACTCCACCTTCCGCAGTGGAAACTCTGGAGCCTGTTGAGCCCACTTGAGTCTGCAGTGTGTGCTTTGCGGCACCTCCTGAATTCAGAGTTAGCCTCTAATCTCCTCAATGAGGGCTTCCTAACTGCTCACTTGTGTTGACTGAAGGAAGAGAATCCTGAAATTCACACACTTAACCACCTCTCTAGGCTGGGCAAGGTCTGAAAAAGCACACGGCCGGGAAAAAGAATGGAAATGAGAGTGAGAGGGAGGGAGCAGTTAGGAGGAAGATGAGGCTGGAGGTGGAAGAATCTATTACCAGAAGGGAGGGCTCGCCAAGGAGGGAGCAGAGGGCTGGAGGGACCCAGCCCTGTGTCCTGGGATGGGCTGGAGGTCGGAGAATCTATTATCAGAAGGGAGTTCGCCAAGGAGGGAGGAGAAGGCTGGAGGGACTCAGCACTGCATCCTGGGATGGTTTCCCTGTTTGGGCTGAAGTGAATTTCCAGAATGTCAACCCCTCCCACGCCTAAGGAGTGGTAGGAAAACACATCCCAAAGCCAAACAGACTTGATCCTTTGCTGGTTCATCCCAGCTGCTTCCCCTGTAGGTGGCAGGGCTGAACGGAGTTCCTGGGCCTTATTCACCCTCTTGAGGTGCTCAAGCAGGGAGGCACTGAGGAGCCCAGGCGGACTGAGCAAGGCACACAGGGTGCAGGCCTGGTGTCCGCGCTCCTGGCTGCAGCTCAGGCCCCTTCCTGTTCTATCAGACCTCAAACCAGACATCTGAAGGGCCTGGAGGAATTTGGGGGATCCTGCTGCCCCTACCCCTTCATTGTCACAGATGAAGACCTCAGAGAGGGGATGGGACACACTCAAGTCTAGACCAAGCAGGGACTGGCCTGGCCCCAGGCCAAGTGGAATGTTTTCCACACATGGGGCATGGCAGGGCCGCTCAGTTCTCTGTGAAAACAGTTGCAGATCTGATTACCCACCCCAACCCACCCCCTCGGATCAGTTACGGATCAAGAGAGGCCCAGGCCGTGTGTCCTTCAAGGCCAGGGGACAGGCAGCCGTAGTGTCTGATTTCTGAATCCCGCCCTGGGCTCCCTGGTGTTTTCACCCCATGTGCCCTTCTTCCTCTAGATCAGGCTGGGAGGGCAGCCAGGGCTCCTCGTGACCAGCTCTGCCCTGTGACGTCCCTGGGGACGCTCTATGCGGCCAGCTGAGAAAGCAGCTTGCTAAGAGATTTGTTGGCAAGTTCCTGCCCCTACTCTCAGGCTCCTGAATCCTTCTCTTGGTTGGTCTCCCACTCCCATTCCCACCTGGCACATGGCTGAGCTGCAGTCCAGCAAGGCACTTACTGGAAAGCCTTTCATTCCAGGCCAGAGGTTACCCAGCGGTCAGGCTGGGCAGGAGAGAAGGCCCTATCCTGAATTCAACCCTATTTGCACCTGCAGCCACCCTGGGGCAGCTCCCCAGGAGGAAAGACACACTCCCTGTTCAGTAAACAGACCATGATTTATATACGAAGAGCCAGCTTGGACGCTTCCCTAGGGCTGCGGCTGGGGCGGGCTCCATGTTGGTCCACTTTCCTGTTCCAGTTCTGAAGCCATGGGTTCACCCCTTCCTGCCAGTGCAGAAGGCAGTGAGGTGTCTTAGAAATAATACAGACCCAGGAATCAGCAGCCTGGCGTTCAAATCCCGTTATGGGCAACACATCTGCTCTAAGCATCAAAGTTCTCATCTGTGAAATGAGGTTAAGACCACTGGACCAGGGCACTGGGGAGCCACTGCAGGTTCCTGAGCCAGGATAAATACATCATATACACACCTGGCCTAGATATATCTGATAAATACATTCTATATGCTTGGCACAGAATAAGTACTTGATAAATCAGTTCATTGGTCTTATTTCTGGGGTCCCTTAGTTCACTTTGAAATAGCAGCCTGGCCAGGGAGTGAGGAAGGGCAACGAGGTCGGGGAGACCCTCTTGATCCTTTCCTTTGGGAGGGTTTGGACCTTTGGCTACTGAATAAAGCCTCTGCAAGGCAACCTCACACATAGCTAAGAGGCTGCCTTTGGTGTCAGGGAGATGCATGTTCAAATCCTGGCCTCTTACACCCTAGCCGTGCAATAGCGCAAGCCATTCTACCTCTTGTGCCTCATTTCCCTCATCTGCAAAATGGGGATGACACTAGACCTGCCCCATAAGGCTGCTGGGAGGGTTAAATGGGACAGGTTGATGGACAGGGGCTGGCATGATAGTGAGTACACGCGGCCCTCCTTGCCCCCACTGGCCCTGGGCAGCCTCTCCACAAAAATCTTCCTGGGTCAGTGAGGCCTTGGGTTGCAACTGCATTCCCGGCCCTCTCCCTCACCCCTGCAGGGCAATGTGAGTATGAGATTGCAGCCTGCAAAAATCCTTGGCCCAACTTAAAGGAAAACCGCCCCATAGGTCCCATATGTATCTGCTGCCGAGGCCATCACTACCTGATCTCGTTGTGTAGCTGCCTCCAAAAGGGTGCTCCTACCTCCAAGACCCCTTCCCTTTACCTCTTATCCACCCTAGATCCAGATCCAACTTGGGTCTCTCCCCCAGCTCAGGAACCGCCAATGGCTCCCCAGTGCCCATGCAGGAAGGGGTGCAAGCTCCTGCTTCCACACCTTTGCATGTGTGGTCTTCTCTGCCAAGAAATCTTCTCTGTGCATCTTGGCATGTTCAACACCAACATGTTCTTCAAGGTCTGCCTCCCAGGGGCAGCCTGACCTGGTTCCACTAGCTAACCTCTCCTTGCCCTGAGAGTGCCCACAGCACTTTCTTGGACACCCACCACCATCTCCCTGCACTGTGGGGCTTTGCCTTCCTAACTAGACTGTGAGCCTCTTGAGGTCAAGGGCTCCCACTGCCTCTCTCATACCCCTCCCCACCTTCCAGCCTTGTCTCCAAGCATCCCAAAGGTCAGAAACCCCAAACCCAAATGGGCTACTTGCCATTCCCTGCAGCCTACTACTACACACACCGCTACTTTTATGACTTTTCTACAAACTCTGCCAGGAACTGCCTTTCCCCATCCCACCTTCTCCTGTGGAAATCTAGGGCCCACCGCAAATGGCTCATTACCCACAAAGCCATGCATGTGATCTCACCTTCTGATGTCCGGCTTAGAGCCCTTTCTCTGTGAGAGGGTCTTCTCCAGCCCCCCATGTCTACATTCTAGGCCCCTACACTGTGCACCTCCACCTTCCCCCATT